AACAGCCACAAAGAGATGGAAGATTAACTTTCAATGAGAAACAACCAATCAGAAGACTGTGTTTGTCTGCTAACAATAACCTTTAATAATGTACATTAAAATCTATAAATATGTGTTGATTTCCTTAATAAACGATCTGTTGCCTGGAGCCTGTCTTCTGTTGTTATAATTTCATCTCATCTAGTGGATGGTGCACGCAACGCCGAAATAGATAAACCACGTATGGTCATATATGGAGTACCGAACAATCTCTCTAAAGCTACACGATTACGTCTTCTAGCCGTAATTGAAGCCATGAAGATTAATACAACGAAACTTGACCTGTGTGAGCAATAAGAAAAGCACATCCATTCTCTTTGTTTACTCTGGCCTACTATAAAGAAATTGAAGAAACAGTCATCCATATTTTCATATCCCATTTTGCCTTTCTTATCCCTTTTTACCTAGTTCACTTCACTTCATTATTATCTCTATTATGTGTCAAGCTTTGTAATTTACAATTTGATTTGATTTGATTATAGCTTGAAACCACAAGGTACTTTTGGTGCAAGTATAGAATTTTCAGCATATGATATTGGTAGCCCAAATTTTGCAGGCCAACCGCTGATATCAGGTGTGCGTCGGCAGGCGATCGAACCCCGGACCATGTGCATGGTCAGCGAGAGTCTTAACCACTGTGCCACCGACGCACAAAAGTAACCGCGCCTCAGAGAAACTTCATTAACTACGATACCGCCACTGCGCTTATCATATCTCTAGTATTTTGTTTACAGCTCACAGTTTAACCTCTCTATATTTTATAAGGAAAATTACAGATTTTGTTCAGCAAAGAAATATCTCTTTTCAACGACTTCATTTTCAACCTGTATAGTCGTATTTAAATTATGGAAAAAGAAGGCATTAAGTGGCACTAGAAATTGCTCAATCAATATTGTAAATATGATAAGAGCAAAGATAATTACGATGATATATTAAGGGGCAGGGTAGAGTTGAAGTGCATGAATTACAAAACTTTTTCAATAAGTGAACTGGTATAAAGATTTTAAAATTGTAAGTCAAGTTTTGTCTAAAAAATTAAGCGTACAGTGATGATAGGAATAAAGACGGCGAAGGTTAAGTGAAGTGGAATGAATTCAAGTGGTAAAATAGAATAAAATGAAAATAAGATTACTATGACCAAAGTATAGAAAAGGGTTCAACAAAACGATTTTGAACACATAATTTAGGTTTCTGTTCATGTATAGCTAGAGCCTGTGTTATGCACTAGAGGAGAAACCGTAGGCTTTTGGAGTGGTTGGATTTGGTCCTTTAGATAACTGTAAAGGATAGATCACGTGTAGGGTGTGCGAATGACCTGACTCCAGAAGGTTTCACAAACTGAAGAATACTTCATTCTCTACTAATCTTTCAATAACCAAACTGGTTAGTGTTCAGCTAAGCTTTTGTGGAGAACTCGCTTACAACATCTAATGTAATTTTATCACTACACTTGATGTCTCTCAACTCTCATTCAGTGCTCCCCATGTGTTTGGTGTTTGTTTGCATGTATGTTGTGGTAATCATATTTCTCTCGCACCTCTAAATATAGCTCACTAACACCCCCAATAGAATTTATATTCTGTTGACTATAAATATATTAGTTTGTCATCCACTTGTCTATTCACATTTTATCTTATGTTCTGAATGACTGCATTTTTTATATACTTTCACTTGATAATATTAACTCACAAACTATCAGTAGCTCTTATACATCTACAGCAATACAGGTTCCGATATAAGTTTTACTTGCTTTTATTGGCTATTTGTATCATAATATTCATGGATTTCTAAGTGTAGAGCCTGAAGAAGAATTTATCGAAAATAACTGTTGGCTCAAAACCATCTTTTTATTGAATTATTTGATATTTTTAGGGACCAGTTGGTGGATGATGACCAGCAGTGGAATCCAGGAATGCAGGTACATCTACCACGAGAGCCACCTATTGTGTCTCACTGAGAACATCATCACTCACTGCGGAATGCAGATAAATCCACTAGCTGATGAGTTCAAAATAGGACGAAATACGCGTTGTCCTGGATTCCACTGCTAGTCACCATCCACCAAATTAACCTCTAATTACATGCTCAGATATCGTCGAATCATCTGGACAAGAAGCCTACATGTCAACATGACACCGAGCACTTCAGTTCAGTCAATTGACGGGAAAATCGAAAACTGAACTAAATTTTTAGGGACTGGTGTGATTTCAAGGTGAGTCTCCATATTTATTTATTAGACTTTGTGCGTTCGCCTCCTTGTGAATATTAAACTGCTTGTCATACATGATCAATATGTTGGAAAAGGTTTACTTTTATTAATAATGAGAACTCACAGAGCCCATGGGCCTACCTCTCATCCTGTATGCTCAGCACTGACAGTGAGTGGCGTTCGTAATGTATCGCAAAATAAGTGAAGTTAGGATTCTTGCGTCAGTGAATTCCTATTTTATTGGCTGGACAATCAGTGTGCTCAGTTTGTAGCTTGAAAGTCCCTTGCTTGATTCATGGAAACGAAACTGCTAAACAGTAGCAATCCAAGCGGGAGTAAGTGACTGATTCTTATCGATTTTTGTACTTCTTTAACTCCTGTAAATACTTAACGAAGTCTACTTTAATCTAAAGTCAATCAACCACAGATTGAATGTTCGAAAATTACAAAAATTACAAAAAATTAAAACTGGTATTATTCTGATTCAATAAATTGTATGAAAAGGTGAGGCAATTTAGCAGGAAGACGTAGAAAAGGGATGTAATTTATTTTAAAATTCAAGAATTCATTTAGAATTTTGAGGACAAAGAGATTCGAGCTACTAATAAAAATTTGTCTGAGGCGTGTTTTTACAAATGAGAAATCATAGATTTGAAATCATTTGATTATTGAAGCAAAAAATTGAGCAAAAGGAAGTTGGAACTATTTTCTGACTGACTAGAGTGATGAGTGATAAGGTGAAGCCATTCACATTTTGTCTATTCACTGTGATTTCATTCATATTAAACAAAGCAATAACAGACTTTTGTGCAGAGTAATATGAGGCCATCACCATTTATTTCACCGTCGTCGGATTCTCTTCAACGTTGATTACGTAAATGTACGTAGAATTTCGTCACACTTGCAGGGGCTCGACATGATTTTGGTTAATAGAGACACAAGTCAACAAACAGTGTTCAGAAGTTCCACTTGTCTAACTTACGAACGAGGTCAGAGTTTAAACAAAACACAAAGGTTCAGCAGGTTGAAGGTGAGGCAGTAACTCATCGAAGAAGACATTGCGAAGAGGTCGCGCTATGTCATGAAATGGCAGAAGTTAGAATTAATGGACTGGCCATTGGATCGGGTCCCAGTGGCTCAATGGTCTACGAGCTCGCTATCCTTGTAACCAGAAGGGCCTGGGTTCGAATTCCTGTGGATTCGCATTGTGAAAAGTCCCAAAGTTGGACGAAGTAGCTGTCCAGTGTTACAGCTGCGGTTTTCCAATGGCTTTCTAACTGATGTCAGCTCATGATAAAATCCTCCAACCAATCAAAATACAAATATGCAAAATCATTGGTTGGATACGTTAAAAATTGAGCTGTACAGTCAAGACAAGAGGAGAGAAGTTGATGATCTGTAATAGTTTGGTGATATGTGTAGCTCAGGTGGACGATTTCGATGTGGTTATGTTCTCTGAACTGGATAGTTAATTTGCGAACCTTTCATCATCCTACTAGGCAACATTCACTCGGAACCAAAAAGAACAGTAGTAATAACAATGGAATATCAACATATTTACTGTCTGTTGGGCTTTTCTACTATCAACGACCGAAGAGGCATATGATTAAACATATACATCAGTTTAGACCACCATACACCAGTTTACTTGCTCCTGCGGAGCTAAGTACATCGACCGTACTATGCGCCAACTTAAAAAACACGCTCGTGAACACTATCCAGACTGGCTAGTAAAAGGAGAACGAAAACGTGCATATAGTTCAGTGACAGAATATCTAGTCAATTCAGGACATTCAGCGACATTCGAAAAATCCTTCAAAATAATATACAAGATTCGATCAAACCTACCAAATGGAGTAAAATCAAGACATCCGGGCATCACCGAGACACTAGTTATCCAAAAGCTCAAATACACGCTATGTATCCAAAAGAAATACGTCGAACCATTGTCTCTGCCTGCCATGGCCATCATAAACAGGTAATTCTTCTCATAGTGACTATCTCATTGCCTTTCTTATCCAAACTTCCGGTTCATTCATGTTATTTTTAAGATTTCCTTAATCTTTATTTACACTACCATATTTTCATATTCGAACTTCCCGTCTATTTTGTCATTTTATTATTTCTACATATTTAATCGCTAACTGCATAAACAATTATTAGTCACATTAGTTATGATCCCACTAGATTTTTTATCCAAAAATCCTGTCTACTTTTTTCTTATTTCTACATTTCCAACCCCCAATTCCACAATATGTCAACCTTCTCAGTAATTATGATGCTACTTTGTTTGAGTTTTATCCATCCCCCTGTTCATTATGTCGTTTTAATTCCTAATTGTACTTCTATTAATTTTACCCTTGACCAGAAATTATTCTGGAACTTTCTCAGTCATTCAATATATAAATACACGAATGTACAGCTATCTAGTTGACGGTGACTTCGTCGAAAAGAAAATTTTCTTCACTTTAATAATTCCTATAATCCGATTTGTACATTCCGTGATTAACCAATCTACAAATATCCAAAGTTATTATGGAAATATCCTTGTAAATGAGTTTTATTGCTCAAATCAAAAATATACGCGTAAATCAAAATGGTATATTTGAACAAATTATTCAGGTTAAAAATACCTATTACAAATATAAATAATTATAAAAATTTGACTAATGTTCATTTCAATGATTGTCGAATCAGTAAAAAGTTAATTAATTAATTCAAAGAATATATTTACCGCAAACGGTTCAAGGTAGAAACGAAGATTCCTATAAGAAGTGCACTTGAGGTGGTCGTTCTTTCCTCTGCTACATACATGGAGGAAAATATTTCACACAGAGAGGTAACAATGTTTTCTGAAGTTCATCACCTTTACTGCATTGGATAACCACTAAGATGTGGTTTTCTGTTTAATCCCCTCTGAAATTTTCTTCCATGTCGTCGACCACCACGTCTACCACGTCTATGACGTCGTCTTCGGCGTTGACGATGAGCTCTATCAAATCCTCGTACTGGTGCTATCACTAGTGTATCTGGTTCATTCATTTTGATACCAACGCTTAGTGTGTCTTTCAATTCAGCTTCTTTAACTTTTGAGAAAATTCGATCTACTGATGGGTGAATAACGACGTCTTGACGACTGTGTTTTTTAGGTGCTGCATCCACTGAGAGAAGAGAAAAGACGCAGAATAGTAGAATTATGGACAGAAGTAGGATTTTAATGGACGCCATTTTTCTCGCTATATTTCAATACACAGTTGTAACGTTTGAAAATTATTGACCGTTTCGCGTTTTTGTTCAAATTGTATTACATATGTTAAGCATAGAATAATAATAGTTAAAATTGTAAAATTAGAATCAGAGAGCAGAATTTATACTATTCTGACAAGATGTGTGCCCGCCTATCATCACTACACACACACACACTCAGGGTTTGTCAGAAATCAAGACTAATGTAAACAGCACTGTACCTACATTAATTCTAATCTATAAAATAAGAAATAAGGTATATAGTATGGCATGTATTTGTTTTTAACAAATGCATTAACCTCACCATCACATGCTGTTTATCATTTCAGATATAAACATGAGGATATTCGTACATATATACGTGTATACAAATCGTTTGTCAATTTTAGATAGGTATATTGTGTGCTAAGTAGTTTTGAATAAATATGTAATGATTAGATTAACTGAAAATTGATAATGAACATTTTTGAAAAAAAATATATATACTGTTTCTGCCTAAATGAGATTTAGATTTTTGCCAGGTGAATGATGGCTACTGGATGCACATTGTGAAGCTGTACTGAAAAGTCGTCACAAAAAATGAGGTCGATCATGTGTCAAAGTGCAGAGAATGCTCATTGAAGTTATTGGTTGTGGGTAGTGCTATTTCAAGGATTCACAAGCAGTTGAATTCTGGTCGAATAGTTGGCGATCTTGGTCTCGTAACCTGAAGTTCACGAGTTCGATCTCTAGTAGGATTGTGGGGTTACAGTGCTGAAGAGTCCCACAAAGATAGGATGAAACACCTCTCCATTACTCCCGAGTTTTAAAAGATCTTCGAGTAGTGTATAATGTGAATTAAGAATAAAACGAAACCTGACCAAGTCAATGAGCGACGGACTAGATAAAATCTGCAGTGACGGCACTAGGAAAAAGGCGGATGGATTCTCAATGAAAATGTCCACCACAAATTGTGCTTCATCCATGAAACTCCATGAAACCTAAATCCCTTAAAATCCTTATAAGCCTAAATATAAAATTCTCTGGTGACTCTTTGGCAAAACTACTGAGAAACAGCCTGTCCTGCTCATTGAAGAGAACCTTCGAGGCTGAACTTAGAATCACTCTTTCTGAAAAACCAGTGATTCCCACTGCTGGTTTCATCAACGTATGTCACCTGCTTCCACAGAGCTAGGTATGTAGGTCATGCTCAGCGTTCACCGTCCAAACGAACACTCACTCTCCATATTCTGGAGCACCTGATCGACTCTACGCACCAAGCGAACCCGCAAAACAACCTTAAAGTCATTTACACAATATATGGGAATCTTGTTAAAGACTTACGAATCAAAACTCTTCAAACAGCTGAAGTAATGCTGATTCAGATGTTAAATCTTGAACTCTGGTTATAAAAGAAGTTTTTTCATCTAGTGAAACTACAATGAACCTAAACTGTCTCCACACTTCATACGTAATTTTTTTCGTTCTTTAGATTATATCATCTTTCTCGTTTCCTTCCTCCCTATTACATTTTTACTCATTATTACTGTACTTAACGTGATTGTCACGTTAAGGGAAACGAGAAGACAAGGATATCCTGGACCAACGTGAAGAATCTAGAAGACCTGGATTTCGCAGATGATTTATGTTTGATGTCACACAAGATCGAAGACTTACAAGCGAAAACCGACAAACTGGTCGAAGAAGCAGCAAAGACAGGACTCCACGTGAACATAGACAAGACGGGGGTAATGAAAATAACCAACCAACAACAACAACAGCAGCAACATCCAGTGCCAATCATTATCAACGGGAGGGATTTGAAAGAGGTTACTTCTTTCACTTATCTAGGGAGCATTGTCTCAACCACAGGAGGAACGGACGAGGATGTCAAATCGAGAATCGGGAAGGCGAGAAACACATTCATCAACCTGAAACCAATCTGGAAATCTTCGTCACTCAGCCTGCATCAACAACAAAATTCGGATTTTCAATACAAACGTCAAGTCAGTCAGTTCTTCTATACGGATCAGAAACTTGGCGGGTCACAAAGAATATTTCCAACAGCCTGTTGCAGACCTTTATCAACAACTGTCTTCACTGGCTCTATACTGAAGATCAGATGGCCGGGAAGAACAAGAACCAACAAGAAACTATGGGAACAAACAAAACAAGAACCAATCGCCAAACAAATATGCAGGAGAAAGTGGAGATGGATTGGACACTCGCTGAGGAGACCGCTGGGTGACATCGCGCGTCAGGCCATAGCTCCGGTGGAACCCGAAAGGGAAGTGGCAAGTGGGACGTTCAAGGGTGATATGGAGGAGATCGTTTGAAGAAGAGTTGAAACAGTATGGACTAACATTGACGCAAGTGAAAAGTACAACAGAAGACAGAAGCAAGTGGAGACGTGTAGTTGAAGCCCTATGTGCCACTAGGAAACCAAGGGAACAATAATAATAAATAACCTGAATGTCTTTTAATTTCATTTGAGGTCTACTCATTCCCATCAATCACTTTATGTCACTCAATTTAAATATTCAATTTGATTTCAGTTTCCAACTGATTAGCGCTCTCCATTTTTCGTTGTCACTATCTAGAATTTATAGATCCGATGATACAGCTGTAAAAATGTTGCTAAGAAAATCTACTGCATGCATGCAACTCTGCAGTTCCATAGTAATATCTCCTAAAAAAGCAAATCTTCCCTGAATGGCGTTTCTTTGTAAGGCTATATAAGTCCAAAATGTGGTTTCGTTTCCTAGCAGTTCATTGAAACTGTAAAGCTATCTAGATGGCTGATATATGTATAGTGTTAACCATTAAACATGGTCTGAGGTTATTGTTTTTCTCGCGTCCAAATGAGAAAATGCGAAGCTTCAGTTTATTAAGTTTCATTTGCGATAGTGTTGTTTCTCCAGGGCACCGCTCCTAGATTTAAGCTTAACATTCTACTTTTAACAGGGCCACTGTGGGCGACGTTGAAGAGTGCAGCACTGGGAACTGAACTCAGAGGCTGAGTTTCACTAGTGATCTTCATACCGATGAACCACCGACGTACTGTCAGATAGTGACAAAGATAAATCAAAGTGCATGAAGACAATAATATTGCAAAGCATAATGAATAGTATTACATAATCAAGTGAAGGTTTAAGTAATCCGTGATGTGATAAATACCTATTTGTAGAAAAGTGATAGCATACAAAGGCACAAAAAACTAATTGTGGTTGACAAAGAAATTACATAGATTTTATATTGTAACAAATAAAGCAAAGAGAACCAACATTCACGTATGATTCTTAAAAATGTTGCATAAAGTGTGTCTGAATACGAAGTACATGTCTTTCTCTAGATACGATAAGAGTAATGGCTATTTGAAAATGTGGGCAAAATTCTTTTGATTAGCTCAATACTGCCATATGTATAACGCGGAACCCGAAAGAGAGGCGGCGAGTTGGTCGTCCAAGGGTGACTTGGAGGAGGTCATGTGAAGAGGAGATGAAAACGTGTGGGCAGACTTGGAGCCAAATGAAGACTCTGGCGGAGAACCGAACACAATGGAGACGCAAGGATGAAACCCTTTGTTCCTCCAGGAATTAAAGGAAACCATAATAATAATAATAACGCGGAATGAAGTCCTTAGTGATGCCTCTTATGCTTTACAGCTGAGCTGCTACCTATTCTACGTTTTCCTTTCGACCATTGTACCTTTAGGTCTTTGTCAGCACGTCTGAATAAATTTCTACAGCTGGGTACCTATTGGTCAAAAACGAAACCTGATCCGGTCGCTTGCCACTCGTATTCGGCGCATATGTAGCCCTGATACTGTGGAAGATGAGCTGTACATTTTGAGGAAAATCCTAATAGAAAATGGATTTCCACGTTTTATAGATAAGAATTTACATTCAAATCCTAAAAAACGTGAGTTATTAACCGTACCCAAGAAAATACTTTACATGAGCTTGAAATTCAAAGGGGACTTAGCTTCCGAAGTCATAAAACGAAGGATATCACAATCCCTGAAAAGAACATTCCCTGCTGCATCTCTGAGAATAGCCTTTGCTAGTCAACCATTACTGTTCAATAACCTAAAGGACAAGATCTTGCTGTTGACCAACTCATCTGCTCGTGTGGAGCTAGGTATATCGGTCGTTCGACACGAGTTTTGTCCAACAGGATGCAAGAACACTCTCCTGCATGGTTACGAAAAGGTGGGAGTGGAGCAATAAGAAGCGCGATCATTGAACATCTGGTCGATAATGATCAGCCTATCTCTATAGCCTCCGCCTTCAAAGTCATCTACAAGGCAAAGAGTAATTTACCCAAATCCCTACGTACCCGACTAATCTGTATTGCTGAAGCTTTGGCTATCGAAAGAGTAAAGCCAGATCTCTGTGTACAGAAAACGTTCGTTCAACCCCTCCAACTTTCATGGTCTTGATCCCTCTATGCTAAAGTATGGTAATCCCCAATCATATTTTAGCTATACCAATTTTCCATTTTTTTTCATTTTTGTCTATTCAATTTGTATACTCTTCCTTATTACGTCAATTGTTACTATTACTACTCTCACTTTTAATTGTCCCCGGTATTATTTCACTCGTTCCACTTGTCATTCTAAATCAATTCCTTTATGCAACATTAAATTCTATGCTATTAAATTTCACACAATATTATGTAACGTTTTTATTTTATTTTATTCTATTTATCTACTAATCTTATAATTGCACACCCTTTTTCAAGTTCTATCCATCCTATATATGACATTAATTTGCTTTGCCACTTGACATTTAACTACGATTATAATCACAAACATTCTCGTTTTAATTGCATTTCATATTATTATTATTTCATGCATTCACACCTATGTTTCAATTCCCTCACCGGATATAACTTCTTAAAAACCATATATATACAGTTGTACAGCTTGATGATAAATTCGTTGAAAAGAGTCTCTTCGCTGAATGATTTGTTTTGATTTTCTATATCTTACAATGGGAATTTTCCATGATTTTAATAAAATTTCGCTGTCAAATTCAACGTACTTCAATCACGGGATCAAGTGAGGTGATGATTATAGACTGAGACTGTCATCAGGGGAATCTTTTC